CCTTCCCTGATTGAATTGTGAGCCGCCCTGAGTCCCCTTCGGGGAAAAGGGCGGCATATAAATGTAATAAATCCAAATCCAAATCCAAATTCTGGCTGGGAGGACGAGGAGGCTGTGCAGCTCCTTAAAATGAATCCCAAACTTCCTGCCCCACTCCCACCCTTCGGAGAGGAGATACGTACCCTTCCCGAGCTGCACGAAGCCGAGAGTGATGATCAAGGCCAGGGCCAGCAGCTTGGCGGCGGCGAAGGCATCTTGCACACGAGTAGCCGCCTTCACGCTGTAGCAGTTGACCGCCGTGAGCAACACTGGAGAGAAACACACACCAGAAAAAGCAACGGGTAAGTAAACCTGCAGGCATTTTTTTCCTCTTCCGAAAACGGCTCGGGAGCTGAAGGCCAAAAGCTCACACCAAGTAATCCCGCTCGCTTAATATGATTATTTCCCCCCATGTAATTAACAGCTTATCATAATTCATGCACACAGGAAGGAACTACAAGGGATCATGGAGGTACCCAACCCAAGGGAACTTCTTAAGTCAACCGAAAGACCCAGCAGCCCCAGATGGAAAAAAAACAAACAGGAGTCATCTACAACACGTAGTAGGGCAAGGACTGTAGTAGCCACTGTGTAGGGGAGAGAGGCGGAAGACTGGCAGAGGGCATCCCTGACCACAGAAGGCAGAAGACGTGATGGAAACTTCTTAATTGCATAACGTGTGGACAGACTACCATACTTTCAACCAGGAAACTCCGAGCATCCTACACCGAGCTAAATCCAGCAATGCGGAGAATTCCTGGAAGCTTGGCATTCAGATAAACCAGCCTTCAACAGATAAACTGCATTCAGACACCGTCCAGAAGTTAAGGAAACAAAAACGCCAAAACGTATCCTCTCCAGCCACCAATAGTGAGATAAGCAGGGATTAATACTAGACAAACCGCTCGGGCAGAAAGCAATAATCGAAGAACTACCAAGGTGAAAACTGCAGCCCACCAATACAAGTAGGGGAAGCCACTGTAGATAAACAGGGAAGAAACCCTACACTCAGCAGCACCGGGTGGTGTTATCTAGCAGGGTAATGAAACGTCTGCAAGGCAGCAGCCAAGCTCAGAGAGCACCACAGATTGCATCCTTTTGTGTATTGATACATGTACT